ATTAAATTAGAAGTTTAAACAGAAATGCTTTCGAAACGTTAAAAAAGAAAATTTTCGGAAAAACAATTACTGAATTTCTGCCCGAATTTTAGAACTTAAAGCAGAGAATTAATTGTCTAGTAAGCTCAAGCAATTAAAATATAGCCATACATCAATATTGATACCAATCTTATTAATGATAAAATAAATATTGATAGCACATTATTTAATTTAATTTTAGTTTTCCAATAATTGAATAAAAAAACGAATATACTATTTCATAATGTTAAATAAAAAGGATAAAATTTATTTGAGTTAGTTAGTTAAAAATTCAAATTCATCAATAAGATTTATAAAATCTATAAGCTTACGTCCGATAACAAAAAAAAAAAAAAAAAAAAAAAAAAAAAAAAAAAAAAATGATGTACTTGACTATGATGTTAGTACCATTCTCAATGAAAGTTTTAATAAGCACCATAAGTATTCCATAATTATTTCATTTCATGAATATAACATAATACTGAGCTTATTTAGTAATAAAGATAAAAGACTAATTTTTATTCATAATGATAATTACAAGAGACGATTGTTACGAATACACCAACCACGATATTTTTATATTATTTCAGATACGATAATGACTTACGTTTCTTTATATATGATTATAGACAGATTGAAATTCCAATAAACAATTCAACCCTTCAAAGAGATTATTTAAAAATTTATCGCTATTTCATAGAACTATATGTAGATACAAATTATAATCAACGGATTTCCTTTAGATTTAATTTTGAATCGCAATTTATGTTTTAACACAAGAGATATCAATTACAAGTGTAGGAATAATTTGATAATCGACTTATTCTTATGATTTAATGTCTATAAATCAAAGTATAATATTTATAAGTAATATTGGAAATATTGTTTGAATTTAAATTATTGTCCTATTTTATTATATATATATATATATAATTTTACCTGCTTATATTGAAATAAATAATATCAATCGAATTATGTAAATATTTACAATAAGACCATAATAGTTATAGAATTTCTATAGGGTATTTTATTCGAATGAATATACTCATAGCCGACAAAATTCTGTAAAATTGTTCACTACGAGTTTGATTTATTCAAGTGAAATTATAAATACCGTTTCTTTACAATAGCCTTTTTTAAATGCAACTTCAATGTATTAAGTATTAACGACATTCTATCAGTTTATCGCTCGACTTGAGACATTTTCACACTTAAGCATTAATACAAAAATATTTTATAATTATTTATTATTTTATGAAGTTAGGTATTTTTATTTAAAAAATAATGACATGCTATGTAAAATTGATTTATGAATTCGATTGTACGTAGGTCTACATAAACTTTATATTGACTATAGATTATAGACCAGTTTGGCTTCGAAATTTCCTTGTGTCTGTAGAAATATTATGTCAGCGATAAATGAAGTTTTCACGTTTGACAAGTTTCGAACGATTGTTCTCAATTAATTAATATGTATTATATTAATTTTTATGAGCGCATAAAATAATACGCTGACTCATTGCTTATTAATTATAACGAGAGAGATACACTTGATGAAATTATATAGAATATGCATTCACCTCGATATGCATATCCTTCGTTTAAACTTGGCGCGAGAGCTTCGAGAAATATACAAATACAATTAATTCAGAGTATGTCGAACATCACTTACATTATGACTACAATTTAAATACTGAAAAATTTTACGAAAGATTATATGTTTCCTTATGAATTTGCTAAATAACGAACGTAGACGTCGCTTATACAGTTCATAAATATTCATTATTATTAACATTAGGTAATTTAAGTTTTTTTTTTTTTTTTTTGTTTTTTTTTTTGTTATTTTAATCGAATTATCGAGGATGACTCGATTGAAGCTCGCATGCATTTAAATAATTATCAATTTAATGGGGTAAATGGGTAATATCTACGTGTTAATGGAGATGCTTAAATCTGTGGGCATAAATTTTTCTTGGAAAATATAAATTCTTTAAATTCAGCATTAATCCTTTAATTGCTAACTTAGCTTAGTTATGAAAATCCGAGAAACTTGAATAGAAAAAAATCGGATACACATATTATAAATGTAGAATAGCTTGTTGCGACTATCGTTCATACTCTTGATTATTATCAGTCGAAATGTATTGAATAAACAAACGCCCGTAACCTACAATTTACCACAGAAACTTTCATGTGTGCTTATCGGCGTAGTCTTAAAATTTATGAACAATAAATCTTCATGCTTATAATCATTATTTTAAACCTTACATATACATAAAATATCCTTTTCAATTTGTGTTAATCGATTATTATTATTATTCTTATTATTGCTGTTGCTTTTGTTGTTACTATTGTCACTATTATTATTTATTATTTATTATTTATTATTTACTTAGATGATGATGATGATGATAATTATTTTTGTTGCTGTTGTGATTGTCGTTGTTGTTATTATTCTTATTTTATTATAAAATCGATATTTAAATAGCTTACGTTAGATTTACCGCTAGAATGTGCGTATGAATTATAGAGCCTATCGTCGAGCTGAAATTTTTAGTAACATTACACAGACTAAATAATAGTATATTAATCTAATGTATATAGATTATTGAATTTTCATACTTAACGGCATTTGCTCACTTCTGAATAAGTAATTTGGCATTGTAATGGACATTTTGCAGTCGGAATTTTCAGTTGCCTATTATATTTTTGAAGTACGATTAAAGCTATTTCACACGCTAGCCTTGTCCATTATGATTTGTTTATTCAGTCCAAATAAGCATAAAAACCATTGAATATTATATTAAATAAAGCAATAAAACATATCTATATTGGTAGTTTGTATATTTACGCAATGCATAATGGCTTTTACGACTTTATTATCGTGTGACGACGCCAAAGTATTGCTCGACGTAGCGAAAAATATTTTCTTACGTTACTTCATTTTCAACGCTACGGGGAAGAAAAGGCGTCAAGTGATATTTCGATTTTCCAAATTGATACGAAAATTAAAATTATCATTATAACGATATTAGCGAAAGCTTGCTTTGTTAATAAATATATCGAGTCGTATGGCTGAGCCGAAACAGTGAGAGAGCAGTGTCCCGTGAGAACTTTCTTCGCCGAGCACCGAGTTCGTCCAACGGCTATGAAAATTCGATTCAAGTTTTCTAACGAATTAATCCAGCTAATATGACTACCGCCGACAGCGCAACTACTAGTTTCACAAATATAATAAATAAATAACTCGGCTTGCACTCGCGCAAACCATACAAAATCACAACAAAAATACCGCCACCTTTCCACCATATAAGCCATGGTGTAACTTAATAAAACCGGTAAAAATCAATAGCGGCGCGCAATGCATCTTCAAAGAGAACATGAGACAGCGCAATGACGGTGTACTCGCAATGAATAAAACGTAGCTGATTGCGTGCATTTTCGCGAGAGCCGTCGAATTTGTGCTTGGATACGCATCTCTCGCGTTCGGAGCCGCGTTACGTGCGCGGATGGAGCACGACACGGCGATATTCAAATCCTCGTATCGTTCACGCCCCCCGTTTTTCCTTTTCACGTGCCGCACTCCCCTCGCTCCTATCCACCCTTGCCCAACCCGAATCGCACCGCCACATCCTCCTGCCGGTCTTGCCCCAACCTCCGCCGCTACTCGGTGCCCACCGCTCTACGTTATGCACCTGCACCCCACCACCCCGCGCCCTCGCGCTCCAATTCTCTCTCTCTCTCTCTCTCTCTCTCCCTCTCACTCTCTCTCTCTCACTCTCTCCCGTGAGAGGACGACTCGTCGTCGCTCGCTTCAGCCGATGCTCACACGAAGCGTCGGTTAAAATCCGTCGCGTACTCACTCGCACGCTCTATCGTCAATTCCATTTTCCTCCAACCGTCCTTCCCCGTATTGTCCGCCGGCAAAACGGTGGCGTTGAGAAGCCTCGTGCGCTCTGTCGTCGTCGTAGGTGTCGCGGGCGGTGCATGTGTCCGGGGGGAGTAAGGTGGGCACAGCCCATGGAGAGAAAAAAAGCGTATATCTTGCGAACGGTGAGAAAGCGACGGGAGAGAGAAGCGGCATCGAGAACAAGTGGACACGGCGCTTGACGATGATAGTCACACGACCACGACGACGAGGTGGACGACGTGGAGGACGTCGTGGAGGACGGTAAGAACGACAACAAAGACGACGACGACGACGACGACTACGACGACGACGACGACGACGACAACGACGACGACGACGACGACGACGACGACGACGACGACGACGACGACGACGACGACGACGACGACGACGACGACGACGACGACGACGACGACGACGACGACGACGACGACGACGACGACGACGACGACGACGACGACGACGACGACGACGACGACGACGACGACGACGACGACGACGACGACGACGACGACGACGACGACGACGACGACGACGACGACGACGACGACGACGACGACGACGACGACGACGACGACGACGACGACGACGACGACGACGACGACGACGACGACGACGACGACGACGACGACGACGACGACGACGACGACGACGACGACGACGACGACGACGACGACGACGACGACGACGACGACGACGACGACGACGACGACGACGACGACGACGACGACGACGACGACGACGACGACGACGACGACGACGACGACGACGACGACGACGACGACGACGACGACGACGACGACGACGACGACGACGACGACGACGACGACGACGACGACGACGACGACGACGACGACGACGACGACGACGACGACGCGGTGGGGGTAGACAGTTGGCTCGACCCTGGTGGGGGAAGTACCAACGCGAGAGCAAGAGGAGAAGGAAGAGGGAGAAAGGCAGAGCGTTACCAGGGGGAGATGATAAGCCGTAGTGGGGGGCGGGAGGGAGAGCGAGCGAGGTGGAGCGAGAGGGAGCGATAGGCTCTCTTTCGAGGACGGATGGATTTTCGCCGATCTGCCGGCCGGCGGAGAAGTCAGTCGCTTCTAGTCCCTCGAGTTTAACGGACAGTTTTCGCGCGAGAGGAAGCCCAATCCGTTGTATTGTATCGCAAATACAGAGCCGTTGTTACTAACACATTTGATCGGGAGGAAATGCCGTGTGCCGCAGCGATATCCAGCTTATTGCTTCTCGCCGTCGTCCGTAAGTTCTTCTCTTACTCATTATTTGTCCCGCTTAACTTAATCGAATGAGCGAGGCCCTTACCCCCCCACCCCCCCCCCCCCCCCCCCCCCCCCCCACCCCCCCACCCCCCTCGATACCCCACCTCAGCAACCCGCCTCGATGCAATACCACCGAACAACCGTTTAATCGACGGTTATTTAACCCTCGCTCTCTGCCCTATTGTTCCGCCTACCTTTGCCCTCGTCGCGACTCTCTTGGCGTTTGTAGTTGTAGGGTACTTGGTGTGCTGGCTAGTTGTGCGCGAAATATGTTGGATGAGAAACTTTTGCTTCTCGTATTGTTCTTTAGGTAATGGCAGATGTCAATCCGCACTCGTGCAGCAAATTAACGAAAAGGAAATGAAAAGGATTTGAACGTTCGATGGCGTAGGCTACCGGCGGGGCTTAAAAATTTTTTCTTTAATCAATAAAATTTTTCGACGAGAGGGCAAAGTTTAGCTAGGCAATCGTAGATTTTGTAGTGATGATAACCACGATATAATCAAAACAGAGAGACTGCGATTCCTCTCCCATTGCGTTGCCTGTAAGATGTAATAGTTGAGTCGAGAATTTGCATGTAAATGACGACGTAGGTGTCGACTCGGCCAATGTTCGAATCTCCTGAATACCAAACGCCATTTTGTAGATAAGGTGGTCTTAAAAAACTTTTAAATGCCGCCTCGAGGGCTCGAAATACAATTTTATACAAAATCCTAATTGTGAAAAAAAGAAAAGGTCATTTGCCTGTGATTATGGATTCGAAATTGGCGACGAAACTGCCGCGGTGTCAGCTTACGTAATCGGGATAAGAATCCATTTACAACTGCCCGATAATAAAGGACGTACAAACTCCCGCGTATTTACTAACTTTTGTAATATTTCAAAACAAAAATCGTTGACTCGAGATCATCTGTGTATATGAGTTCGAGGCGGGAAGATTATAATGAAATATTGCTGTATTCGTTATTACATTTGTCGTTCTACATATCATTTGATCGAACTAAATGGGAAATTTGAATAATATTTTGAACAAGTAGGCCGTTAAAATCTCAACTGCTTTTTTCCAGCGCAGTGCCACGGTCGATCAAACGATTTGGTTCACGAGATTTCACTAATGCATCTATCCAACACTTTCTTGTAAATAATTACTAACGCATAGAGTACGATCGAAAAAGCGATCGAAGTGTGTCGTAACAATAATAATTCCAAAAGAAAAAATTCATGGGAAAAGTTGTTGCGCGTCGGTACTTAATAATTTTCAATAAGAAATCAAAACCTTTTATTACAAAAGGGAATATATAGGCGATAATTGATGTTTAAACGTCACAATTGGAAACTTGTCGATAAATAATTATTCCACATTTTCAAACCTTATTGGCATATTCCGTCACCTTACAAATCGCTTGATTTTTTAAATTTGATCATTATTAAGGTAACTTCCTACCGATCAGATTTAAATAATTTTGCAAATTAATATAACGAAGCCATTACCTGATTGTATCGCTAACGATAATTACCTGTTTTGACTTTTGTAAGGTACAGTAGAAACATTTTTGCCAATCCATCGTAGAGCGTAACTTTTCACTTGGAAAATCAGGAACTCTGGGTCAGTCGCAATAAAGTCTTAGTATTTGGAGAACATTAAAAACATTCTTTGTGTTTTAATTTTTTTATTTTATTTTTTTTTTTTTTTCGTTTTTTAAGCTTTGTTAACACGACAGATTTTTTTATTTTTATTTTCAAGGGTAATTATCGGCTTCTAAATTATTCGAAACTTGAAATATTAATCATCGAAGCAGATTGAAATGTTAGTCTAATATTCTTACTAACGAACTTCTTTATTATTATTATTATTATTATTATTATTATTATTATTATTATTATTATTATTGCATTATTAAAATAATCATCAACATAAAAATGTATGCTAAAACATTGCAGTTGTGCGAATGCTCTTTGAATCAACGTTTATCAACGTTTCCTTTATCAGAGCCGTCGAATTACATAACCAAATTTTATCTTCTTTTTACAACAGTCCCCTACCCACCCTCGTTGCGCGCTGTTAAATCAAGCGATACAACAAGCAACTCGAAAATCAGCCACAAGTCCGTTTGCAAAGCGAACTGTAATCGGAAAAGAGCCAAGACTGACTGCGTGGGAGTAGCATTAAAATTGCAGATTCGGTTCGTTGAAAGGCAGCGCCAGAGAGAAACGAGAAAATGCCGCAAATTCCCTTGGTTGTGACTGTCCAAGAGTCAGCAAAAACGCTCGTTCATTAAACGCACGAGCCACGCTGCGTAAGGCCCATCGAATAATGGCGCGAAGCGATTGACTCGATCGAGAGCTTGGCGCGAGGGTGGGAATGAGAGAGAGAGAGAGAGAGAGAGAGAGAGAGAGAGACAGAGAGCAATGCTAGTCACGAGGAAGGAAACATTTAATTTCGACGGCTAGCGTCGCAGTGCGGCACGCGGCGCGTAATAACAATAAAAAAGCGTAACGCGATCATAAAGGCCGGTTAACGATCAGCCGACGACGTCCCGCTGACCCTCTCTCCTCCCTCTAGCTCTATTACAAACCCTCTCCCACCCCGTACTACCTATTACCGCTCTCGCCCCTCTCTCTCATCGCATCCTACCCCCCCCCCCACACTTTGCTTCGTCGGCGCGGGCCCATAAAAGATTCGCGGATGCTGCGGGTCCTTGTGCCGCTGTGAGAAGGTGCGTACGTGTGTGAAATCTACCTCGATACACTACCTATACCTACCTATACCTACCTACCTATATACCCCTTTCAAAACGACCCTACTAATACGTCTTCCATTGCAATCCTTGCCCATCCAAATTACTCCCGTCGCGCGCACCCCCCCCCCCCCCCACACACATAACGTCGCTACTCATCGATTTCCAATTTTACTATTATCCACTTTATAGGGATCGATGCTTTTCGATGACATTTTATCCCACTTCGAGCCGGTAATTTATTAGACCCAAAATCGAAGATAAAAGTAGTCGTCGAGTACTTAGGTAACGTACGTGCGTGTCGTCATTGACGAACCAATATCTATTATATATCGTTACTCTAATCGCAATTTCATTGCAAATGTAAACATTTGCGCGTGCTTAAGACATTTTTCTGTAATAATCGTTGGAACAATTTTTTTTTTATTTGTTTGTTTATAAACCAATTTACGTTCGATAAAATTTTGAAAAATAGTTTAAAGGCAAGTATTTTGTGTACGCGATTCTTTCGTAAGTTAATAAATGGAAAAACTTCCGGAATAAATGAAGAAAAAAACATGGCAATATTAATACCTCGGCTAGATACTTCCAAGGTAAGCGAACTCCTCGACGGACTATTTAGCCGAGCATCTCCGACAATAAAAAGAGACACATTCAACAAAAGAATGTACAACACGATGTCCCATCGTCGCCAAGAATTCCTATTTTCAAAAACTCCGATGGCTTTGTACAGAATAATTATATACCGGAGCGCTATTTTTGTACTCCGACACTTCAAATGAATCATAATAATAACTTGTTTCCATAGTATATGTGAGCAAATAAAAATTTTATCGGTAAATCTAGATGAAATAAGAAATAAATAGCAAGTAATGTATTATGATTTTGAAATAAAAGTCATTAATTATAATATGAAATTTGGGTTAATTCTATACATACACAAGAAGAGTGATATTTTTAAAAACGTGATGTTGCAGCTGCTGGAAACCAGATGGAAGCTTCATTTTGTGTAGATAAATGTTAAAAAGAGCATGAAATTGACTGAAAATGCGATGGAATTGATAAATTGGACACTTGACAAGAACTGTAAATTAAAATGAAATTTGAAAAGTTTATCGATAACATTATCATAAATTTAAAGTCACGTACATATATATATATATATATATATATAACAAATATTTACCTTCCAATATCCAAATGTTTATGTGTTTATTTCAGTGTATTTATCTTTAACGTAAAATCAATAAAAAAATTTACTAAAATACAAAATTGATTAAGGAATTATATTTAATATTAATGTGTAGGAATAAATATTATAACTGAATTAAGAGAATTTTTATTTTCTGAAGAACCAAATTGTTTATCGAAGTAAACGACTTGTAAAATTATTTTAAAAAGTGTATAAGTTTTAAGGTGATTACGACATACAACTAAAATCACTGATAAAATTTTATTTTTATTCCACTATTTAAAAATTTTATCGAAGTATGCAATTAAAATTAAATAATTATAAAAATTTCTTAATATCATGTCCATAGCAATTATTGAGTTAACTCTATTTATAAAAAAATTAGTACATCATTGTTTATTTGTTAAGACAATATTATTGCGCTATATTGATTATTATAAACATCTTTATTATTAAATTAAATTAAAATTATGATCATTGTAACAATGTTGTTTACAACTTAGTTGGCGTTCGTTCAAAAGGCTCTACTTATAAAATTGAAATCAAGCCATTGTCGAAGCCAAAAAACAAAAAACAAAAAAACAAAACAAAAAACAAAACAAAACAAAAACAATAAAAACAAAGAAAAAGGGAAAAATAAAAATATACATATTTGCTAAAAAACACAAAGGCTTGGAAGATGTTCAGCAAAAATTGTTTTAATACTTTTCAATGACAGAATTGTATTGTAATAGGAGCATTAGTGTCGTAATAATTTTAATTGCAATTAATGAGATCGAATGTAATTACTGTCGAGAAAAACCTTGTCACTCAATCTAGTGATTCATTTTGCAATAATCGAGCTTTAAGCACGTCTTCGTTAATCCTAGCCAATTAGCATAGCTAAGTTCTTCATTCTGCTATCAGTTCGGAAAATAAAAGAAAACTGATTCATCCATCAGTTTGATCATATCAATTCATATGAATTAATGGCTAAATGAAGTAATGACAAATCGATTTTTAGACGAAAATGATTATTATGATTATTTATATTTAAATTTTTCAGTTCAA